ATACATTGAAGACTGCAGTCCATGATATCCCTATCCTTAAACAAATGACATTATTTACAATAATTAGTTTATTAAACAATGATTATTTTGAGAGCACCTGTTGGTTATCAACGTTAAAAAATTGTTAACGAAAAAATCAACCACAGGTTAAAAAAAAAAATGGAAAGGGACGCCCGAAGGCAAATGCATGTTAAGAAATAAGAATAAAAAAATAAATAAATCAAAAAAATGTACTAAGGGAACACAATCTAAAGACTGCACTCTACAATCGTTAAATTGTTAAACCGAAAATGATATTCAAATGAATTAGTTCATTTGGCAATGATTATTTTAGAGCACCTACTGGTTATCAATATTTAAAAAATGTATAGTGAAAAAACAACTAGAATTAAATTTTTTTAAATGGGAAGGGGAGCATGTTCGCCCGCAAACAAATGCATTTTAAAAATAAAAAAATAAAATTATGAAATATATATACAATATTGAATAGTTATTGTTCAAATCATGCAAAAAGAAACATTTCTGAGTAAATTAACAACAAAGGTTAAAGAATATTTTGTTTATTTAATTTCTAAGCCATCGGCAATTCCATAAAGAATTATAAGTATGAACAAAATAAATTGATAATTTTTTATATTAATAATTGTCTTTATACGTAATCTTAATATATATAAATCTCGTGTCACAATGTTTGTCCTCAATGGACTCCTAAACCACTTGACCGATTTTGATGAAATTTTTTACTCCGCGTGTAATTTGGTCCAACTTAAAAGATAGGATAGTTTTTATTTCAAATTTTTTAATACATTAAATATTTTAATAAATTTAAAATTTATTATTTTTATTATTATTATTATTTTTATTTTTTATTTTTTTTATATTTTTATTTTTTTTAATATTATTATTTTATATATTTAATACTAGCTGACCCGGCCACGCGTTGCTGTGGATAAAGTTATTGTTATATTACATTATAGTAAACAATCTAAGAGGAACAATAAGAGAACATCAGTCACGGAGTCCACTATGCTTTTTCACACAGATGGTATTTGTAAAAAAATATTAATTATTATTTTCAGTCAAATGCCACCGAAAAAATCTAACCTCAACAACGCGAGCAGCAAAGGGGCACGACGCAAACGTGTTGAAAGAGCTCAGCAATTACCAGAACAAATCGAAACAAGAAATGCAGCTCAAAGAATCAGGACTGCAGAAAGTCGTGCACGAGAATCTCAAGAACAGCGTGACGAACGTCTGCAACAGAATATTACGAGAACAAGAGCGGCACGAGAACGAAACATAGCTACAGTACGAGAAAGAGATCGACAAAGGCAACGGATCAGCCGCTCATTAACACGTGCATCATTCGTTCGGCTTGCCTTTGAATATGCACCAGATATTAACTACTCAGCGCATTCAAAAATTGCTATCGGTGGAATGGATAAAGTATGTCAATATTGTCAGGCATTGAAATTTCGGAATGAAGCAGCCGGCATGTGCTGCGCATCAGGAAAAGTTGTGCTGTCACCTCTACCCGCTCCGCCGGAGCCTTTATTATCCCTTCTTACTGGCAATTCAGATGATTCCAAATTATTTTTGCGTAAGATACGCAAATTTAATTCTTGCTTCCAAATGACGTCATTTGGGGCAACTAAAATTTGCGATCGTGCATCCGATGGACGTAATTTTGAAACTACATTCAAAATTCAAGGCCAGGTGTACCATAAAATCGGATCACTGATGCCAATGCCTGATAACAATCCGAAATTTCTTCAAATTTATTTTATGGGCGATTGTGAAGAGCGTGTGACGACTCGGTGCCTGTATAATGTTATTGAACAAGCAGAGGAAAGAGCAATTGTGATATTATTGGAAAATTTTTTAGAAGATCACAATCAACTAATTCAATTGATCAAAAGAGTTTCGCCACGATTGCAAAATGACAATTATCAAATCGTCATAAAAGCCGACAAAGTACCATTAGGTGAACATGCTGGTAGATTCAACGCTCCAACTGTTGATGAGGTTGCTGTTATCATGGTTGGTGATCCAGTTGACAAAAGATCTATAAAAATTACACGGCGAGACAACACTGT